TAACTTGGACATTTACTTTTTTTAAAATATTGGACCTCTGAAAGCACAAATTGCATTAAGAAGCGTAATGTAACGAATCTATACGCGTGCATACAGGGCGAGCCTCGTAACGTGACGATCTCAAATAACTCGTAAAATAATTGTTGTACGAAAAAATGTTTCACATAAAAGTTGCATGGTTTCTAGGGGGACATACTTATTTTGCTTTTTTATCAAGATATGAAGGTCACTTTCAATTTTTTTAACGAAACAGTTAATATTGCCACCCGAATTAAAGTGTTGAATTCTACGTAGAAAAGAATTACACCAAATTGCATCTAAAATATACATATATATTGAGATATTAGCGAAAGTAAATTACGTATACTAAGGAAGACAATTAATTAATATGATTGTTAACACAATGTAGTTAGGCAACTTTTTACGAGCGGTCGATCAGTATTGGAAAATACAGTCGTAGATGCTACGCGCATGTTCTGCAATAACAGCAGAAACTCTTGAAAATCTTCCTCGTTCTCTAACAATAAGATTACGTAATTGTATTGATTGTGAAGGGCAGCAGTTTGAACATCGTTTAAAAAATAAAATTTATTTCGTTAAGATCTCAATAACTTTGTATCTTACATCCCATTTGGTGTCATACTTTTTCATATAGAATTTAACGCTTTATCCGAATTCAGGAAAAAATATTAGCTGCTCCATTGAAAAAATTGGTGACATTCATCTCTTGACAAAAAAGCAAAATAACATAAAACTGATGAGAATACTATACGTCCGCCCGGAAGCCATGCAACTTCTGTTCGAAACATTTTTTGTTACAACAAATATTTTACGAATTATTTGAGGTCGTTATGTTACAAGGCTCAACCTGTAACAGTGGCGTGAATAGTTGTAGGTTCAAAGTTGCTTTTACATTTTTTGTAATATTCAAAAACTATATTACAATTAATAGACAATAGAAATATACAAATATAGCCTTCTTTTTTGTTTTTGTTCATTTTAATATAGAAGTTACTTTGATTTTATAATTATTCACAGCAGTGTAAGTGGTCTCCTTTAACTGAAGCACCCTATATATTAAAAAAGAATTTGGAAATAAATTTACAAAATTGTAACAATTTCCTATCGGATTTTCATATTTATTGAATTTTCTATAAGTGTTCTAATGCTGTTGGAGGGGGGGAGAGGGTGTAGATATCATCTATAATTGGCGCGGTAGGTAATCCCACAGCTGCTTCTAATGCTCGCTCGTGATAGGCACCCTGGAAAAGGAAGTAGGCGAACGTGAGGCAGTAATGCACTAAGGGTGCCAGGTTGTCAGGTATTTTGTTCCCGATCATATTGATGCTATCATTTATAGGAGCATTGTTGAATTAGGATTGCAAGGAGAATAAAGACTGTGAGAAGAGAAGAACATTCCAAAATCTGATCTCCGAGCTTGCGAGTCGCGGAGAATCTATGCCTCAGATTCTAAGGTAAACGGTGGCGCCCCGTTCCGTTGGGGAGACCCTTCGCTAAAAATACCGCGACGACGGCCGTGTCCTTTCGCCGGAGAACTGCATGAATTGCAAAACTCGGAAGCAGGTGTCGCGGACGTCCCAGTTCGAGGAGCGTCGAGCCGTCGCGTCCGCGGCTAAATGTCTCGATGACAAAACGGTTAAAATCGATACGTAATACATGCATATAACTTCCTCTGCACGTAAATAAGTTCCTATCCCCGGGTGACCCGGTCCTGATTGCCTGATAATGAACGCCGCGACCGAAGTAACGCGCTACCCTCCTCCTCTGCTCATGAATTTCCGACGGCCCGACCCGGCCCGACGATTCGCGGCGAGCTAAAATGGAGGTCACGATTCATCGGTGTCCTCGATCGTTCAAAGATCTTTTCTTCATTGGACGAGCTCCACTGTTATCCGAAACTCCCGCCGGAATTTTTTCGTTCTCCCTTTTCCTGTTCGCTCCCGTTCTACAGCCGAAACTCGAGCCACGATCGATGCTTTACGAAGCCGAATCCCGGCTGCACGGCTACCGCTTTTTGTCGACGCGATCTATCCCAGTCCGATAATTATTTAGAAGCTTGCCCTCCTTACCGATTTCCACGACCTTGAAATATTTTGCCGAGGTAATCGCATTCAACCGTTTCTTCCTGCGCGTATCATCGCCGCTTCGATTTAATCGGACTTGCAACCAGCAAGGGGAACTTACAATTGTGGAAATCGCTTTTGAAACGGTTGTAGGTATGAAGTAATTTTTTCTTCATTTTCGCTCGGATTGCGCACAAAAATGGGCAATTTGAGATGAGGAGATACGATTATTCGAGCCACGCGGCTCGTTTTTATAGTTACCGATTGTCAACGACTACGAAAACAAGACGCAAGGCTCAAGTAATCGTACCACTTCTTCTCAAATTGTCCATTTTTGTTTCCAAGCTGAAGGACAATTAGGGAGAATTTACTGTACATTGAATAAATATGTAACACATAATTTATAATTTAGGTTATTTTCTTGAAAAATATATCTTGGAAAAGAGTATTCAGCTAAGCGAGTTTCTGAAAAAAATGTATTTGACCATTCAAGTTTGCATAGAGACGAACAGTAATTCGCTTTATATTCGCAGTATTCAATATTTTAGGAAGTTTTTACGTTCCTATTCTAATTGTCTCTCAGCTTGTAAACAAAAATGGACAATTTCGAAAGAGAAGATACGATTATTCGAGCCACGCGTCTCGTTTTTATAGTTACCAATTATGAACAACTATAGAGACGAAACTCAAGTCTCGAATAATCGTATCTCCTCTTCCCAAATTGTCCATTTTTATGCGCAATCTGAGCGTGAATTAAGGAGAAATTACTATAGTTCTAACGCGACAAGAAAACAGTTTTGCATTTACATTTTCCTTCTTACCAGCTGCCCTACTGCCGTCGCTGTCGGTCGTTACTAGTGACGAAGATCGCCGTCAGCCAATAGCGACCGCGATAGCTGTAGCAATGGGGCAGCTAGTAAGAGGGGGAATGTGAACGCAAATGTGCCTCCTTGTCGCGTGAGGACTATATGCTATGAGGACTATATCTAGCATCAAAAAACCCTGATACGTTTCTTTGCAACGGACCATTGTTTTCGAGATGTTTTGATGTAAAGTTTTGTACACACCTAGTCAGTAAATTATTTAACGCTCTTTGACAGAACAAGTTATGAGTAAGTCGATAAGGCGGAAGGAAACTGTAGCTAGTAAGTTCGAATCTTCCCGCTGTTGTTACTTTTTTTTTATTGCTTTAATGCAACTTTGAAATGAAAAAATATTTTATTTATTTGTGCATTTCAAGAGCGATTTCCACTACAGTAGGGTTCTCTTGCAGGTTGTGAATTTACCTTATTTTGGGTCAAGCAGTCATCTTAAATATGGTTGAAATTGCGATCAGAATAGATTTCGATCAGATCCCGGCAATTTATATTATATTAAAACAATGCGCGGGCTTCTGCTTCAGATAAGTCAGTCCTAATCCAAAGCAATGCTCGAGTTTTTACTCGAGATAGACCAGACTTAAAGGTGAAGACTCATGTGATGGATAAAAAGAAATTGACTTTTTATTGTATAAATCGATGCTTTTGCATCACAAGAATGTTGTGCACAATTTTCAAAGTGAAATTCTTTATCGTTTCTGAAGATAATCGCTTCGTGTCGATGATGAAAGAAATCATAAAACTTTAAATCCATTCTTCTCGAAACTGCATTTCTTGAATCGCCATGCAGGATAACTCACAAAATAATTAACCGATTGAGTTTGGTCAAAGCATGTAATGTATAACATGTATAAAGAGTTGTTTGGAATGATGACCTTGGCGATAATGACAAGGTCATGGAAATTTGTGAGGAGACCTCCGAGTAAGTGCCATCGGTCTTTTCCACAAAGTCAACAGGACCGGAGTATGGTAGGGGTGAGTTGTTCGTTCGAGAACGGAGTGTAGAAAGGTTAATGGGTTTCTATGCTTTAAGATTTATTGTCGGTCTCTGGAATATTGGGGTACCCCGGTAAAATGTTTCTTTCTTAGCTTTACGCTTTGAATCGGGCTTGAATATATTTCATTCAAAATCAGGTAACGAATAAACATAGAGCATAATGAAATGTTTCAAATACTTTATTATTTTGCGATTATTATTTGTATTAAATGTTTGATCGAAATAAAATGAAGTAAAATTGATCAACGTAAAATACAAAAGTGTTTACAAGATATTTTCAAACTGCGTGATTTTGTTAAAGGAAAACAAACTTGACATTCAAATGTTCTCGAAAATTTACAAGAAAACAATTGTAACAAGGGACGTCTCCTTCGACCTATTCAAGTTTCATGTCGTAAATAATATATAAAATGTAATTTTATTTTATTTAGGAATATTACGTGATTCACTGTTACATATTTAGATATAATAAATAAAAATTTCGAACGTTTGGACTTCTTTAATAATTATCGAAGCAAGTAATGATTATTAAAATTTACTTGCATACCTAACAATAGGTGTCTTACTAGAAAATAGACAATTTTAGTACTTGTAACACTTTATTGTACTTGAAGTACTCTATAATATTGTGTGTGTTACTTTTAATTGAACTTTATTGGTTTTGTTCGATTACAATAAAAA